TCTTGTCTTTTCTCATCTTTGTACAATTATATTAAAATATGTATTTTTACCAAACCCATTCTGTCAAAATGCATTTTGTGAATAGAGAAGTATTAATTCAGGAGAATTACTTTTAATGCTACAATTGAGAAGATACCAACAATAACAAAAACATAAAATATTTGATCAAGTCATGGGATGTTTTTAAAACCATACAGCCTAAGTGCTGTTTACTTTCCTTCCTACTGTTAGACCTTGTTTAACAGCATCATATTTTCAAGTTCTGTGTTCAGTGTAATGAGGTTCCTCTTTCCTGTTGTTTGGTTGGTTAGACTTGTTTAAGCTTAAAGGGAAAAGTTTTATCTGCATTTTTTTACACTTTTCTCTGTAACTTCTAGCTATGCACTTTTTTTTTTCCTAGGCATACTTTAATCTTCAAATGTTGTGAAGAACATTATTTTTCAACCGTGTAACACTTCACCGTGAGTTGTAGTTCATCTGCATAGCTGGGCAGATCAATTGTTTTATTATTTTCTCATGTTGATGGCACAGTCAGGTTTTTCTCAAGTAACAAGTGAAAAAAGTGATAAAACTTTGTGTACAAAATTTCATAGCAGATTATATATCGTACATATGTACTTACGGGTATTTTAGAAGCATTGGCTAAGATTGTGTCATGCCTAGTACTAAGGGATTACAAACACAGAATGAGATTCTTTTGGCATTTTTTTTTTAGTTGTAAGTACAAGTGTGAAGGGGGTGATCAAACCATGCACTCAACTGTGTGCCTTTGCTTATTGTGTGCTCTTTCTTTTAAGTCCTCCATTTCTCCCTTCAGAAATCTCCCTTGGCATGTCTTTTCCAGCTTTCCCCCCCACAAAAAACCACTTCAGGAAGCTTCAGTACTAGTGTTCACAAGACTGATGCCATTCTGATGTTGTAGAGTCTAAAGAATGCTCAGTTTAATAGACACGGTACCAACTGGCCAAAGGGATATTCTGTACCATATGGCGTCACGCTGAACAATAAAACTGGGGGGAGTTGGCTGGAGGGGTGGCGGCAGCTGCTCGGAGACTGGCTGGTCAGTGGATGGTAGGCAGTTGCATTGTGTGTCACTTGTTTTGTGTATTGTTTTATCAATATTATTCTTTTTCCCTTCCTTTTCTGTCCTATTAAGCTATCTTTATCTCAACAAATGAGTTCTACCCCTTTTCCAATTCTCTCCCCCATCCCACTGCTGGGGAGTGTGCAAACGGCTGTGTGGTGTTTAGCTGCGTGCTGGGTTAAACCACAGCAGTAACTTACCATTCATGTGATCGGTTAACAGTAAATTAGTTTTCAAAGTGACTGAAAAAAACCCTTTTTCTTTAAGTCTGCACCCCAGCTTTGTAGTTGTTAATATTTTTAAGTCACAAGAGTATACGAATAGTTTAATTTTGAGTGCCACTGCATCTGCAGGCTTGAGCTGAATTTTAAGAATAAAACGAATGCTGTTACCAGTGATGTTTTTATATGCTTTAGGAGATGTCTGTGTTGTGTAGAGCTAACACATTTCTGAGGGAGGAATTTGGCCTGTAGGATACGTGGCTGGCAGTGATGAATGAACAGATCTTGACTGGGATTCTGAGTGAGTTTGCTTATAAACTCAGGAAGCATTCAGTGGGAGTGGCAGACAGCACTGACACACCAGAAAGCCTTTTTTAACGCAGAAGAACACACTTCGCAAGTGCCAGCTGCATTTTTTACAAAGAAAGCCCACTGTTAGTGTGCTTACTGTGCATTTTTTTCTCACACTTGCTTAATGTGGGGAAAAAGTAATATGCATCTACCACAGTATTTTGCTGATTTGTCAATTTGCAAGTCAAGAAGAGTGTCTCTTAGGACTGTAAGAGCACTGTGACCTGGAATGAGTGATGACTGGCAGAGGCAGTGTGCTGAGAAGACTATCACCTGTCCACTGTGTGTTTTGTTTCTTTTTCTAATTTTTATTTTGTTTGCCCCACTCCTTCATCCAACTGCTTTGGATGGACAGCTCATTGTCTTCAGTGTGTCGTGTAAGCTAGACATTGAACAGGGTGAGATGTGAAAACATAAATGTGTGAACATCTTTGAGATTAAGCTTAGGAAAATTGATATGTATTTCAGTATTTCTGAACTCGAAATTCGGTCTCTTGAATCTAGATATGTATGTTGACAAAGCCACTGTATTTTGCCTGGAATTTTGTCCAGGAACTGTTGTGAGCTGCTTGGTTGAGTACATTGTACTGAGCCAAGTAAAACTGTTTGGTATGGTATGAGCCCATAGTTCAACTTTTTTCATTAATGTTGATCTAGTAGTGCTCGTTTAATTATTTTTTTTTTTTTGTTAATGTGGCAATAAGATTTTCTGTGTTTTTTGAGAAACTTGTAAAGGTGAAGGCTTTCATGAGTGAACATCTTTATGCTACATCAGTGAGAGAAATAGCTCGTGCTACTTGATGATAGGGTAGATGCCTCAGAAGTAAGTGTGGGAAATCAGTACATACGTGAACCTTGTTGACCTCTGGAAAGAGGGTGGGATAGACCTTCTTTTTTTTTATGGGGCAGGTTTTGGTGATTAAATGGCAGATGAGGGCATTTGGTGTATAGGAGCAGGATTGTGCTGCCTGTATGAAGATCTCTATTTCATTTCTTAGCAATGGAAACTTCTCCCTTCAGGGGAAAAGGGGAGAGGGTGGGGCTAAGCAGATGATTTGCTTTCTGATTAAACAATATACTGTATAACCGTAAGTCATATAGTGATAGTCATATTTGGACTGATAGAAATTCTTGACCTCTGTTCAAACACAGATGACACTGTATTCAGGTTTATTTTGATAAGCTGTGGGAAATGTTCAGAATAACATGTTTGTATTTGAGACAGCTTTGCATCTTTCCAGCCCTCTGCACCTACTGTGTTAAGTAGTGTGTGGTCTTGCCTGTCTGAAGGTTGTGCTGTACTGTGAGGGCAGTGGGAGGTGCCTGATGCGTGTACAAGTGCCAAGTAGTACTGGGGGGCCACAACTGGCATAGCTGGCATTCATAGAACAGAAACTTCTCAGACTTCTTCCAAACCCAGAGATTTACAGAGGGAAGGTGGGATCACTTTGTTCTTTGCTTTTGTTTTGTGTCTTTTTTTGTTGTTTTTTTTTAGGAATTTGTTTTTTTCAGATATGTAACTCTTGTGGTTTAAGATTAAAAAATGCATGTTGAACTAAAACATTTACTGTTTGCTTTTTTGCCACATCTGTGAAGAGGTTTGCTGGAAAAGCAGAATTTCCAGTTGTGATGGTTTGAAAAATTAGGAGAACTTAACTTAGTAGAAGCGGTTTCAAGGTCTAAAGTTGTAAATATAAGCTATGTAATATGTGCTAAAATATACACTCCAAAGAAGTGCTTTCAGTGATAGAAATTTGGAAGTGCTTTTTAATCTATTTGCTATCTGTACAGTTGGACAACTTTTTCTTATAGTATAGAAAATGCCTAATAAAGCAATGACTTCTGTTGCTGTTCATAGTGTACATGCTAATAAGTATCCAGCATGTAGAACTATTTCCCAAAATGGTCATTCTGTGATTACTGTATTTCCCCATCATGCCTTAAATATATTAAATGCAATTATAAGCTGAAATTTGTTTTGGATGTAGATAAAACATTCAAATACAGACATTCCTAAACGACCTCGGCTTAAAGTTTGGAGGCTGCATTTCTTTGGAATCAAGATAAAACCTCTGGGAAGATAAAATCCCTAAAGGAATATAAATCAAGTCGAATACTGGAACACATGTAATATGAGAAAACCTTGTGTGTGTATTTCATGACATGTTAATAGACATGACAATAGGTAACAACTGTGTTCACTAAAATTAATAAATAGCACAGGAAAAAAAAAAGTTGAACTAGTGGCAAATGAATTGTAGTCACTACTGTGAAGAGCTCCAGAAAACTTTTTGCTTATTTTACTTTCTACACCACTGTTATGGTACTTCTGCAAAATAGTGAGGAAGATGAAATGTAGGATAAAGCCCAGTAACAACAGTATGAGTGTTTGTATTTTATGTGTTTGATTTTTCTTTATATCTCTATATCTATCTATATATGAGAGAAACAAGTATATTGTAATAACAGAATCTCATATAATAATATAATCTTAGTAATTAAATGTTTTATATGTATGTGTCTGTACACAAAGTGCTTGCTTGTGTGTAAATACAAAGCATGCATTTTCAGTTCCACTTAATTTTTTTTGAGATAACGTAAAAGCAGAGAAATTTTGAAATCAATAATGAAAGTGAGACAAAATCTTCAATTTGCCAAGAGTTAAGAAGACTGAGAGGGTGTTGAGGGACTATAAGAGAAAAAAGAGTGAGAGTGGAAGAAATTATTTCGTAGTATAAGAGCAAGAAAGAACAGACAATAGTTTTGAAGTTGATATAGTGGAAGTATATTTAACAGTACATAAACATAACATCTGTAATTTGCTGCTTAGGAGATCCTGAAGTTTAAAAGCTTAGTAGGATTTAAAGTCTTAAGAATTTATATAAATGCCCTTCTTTTAGAAGTCAACTACTTACTTGAGAATAACAAGTAGGCTCTGTAGAATTTCTGCACTAGATTTAGTTGCTCGTTCTTTGAAATAGCTTGTGCTATGCACTGTCGAATACCTGGACTAGGGGTCATTGAAGGGGCAATTTTCTTACTCTGAAATCAATGTTGCTGGATTTTGGCTTCATGCAAAAATGCTTTTATACTCAGAATACCTAACTTTCTGAGAAATCATAGAGATTTAAAATGTTATTTGGGGTAGTTCATAGGTGCTTATGGATTATGTGCTTTGACTACAGGCAAAAGGAAATTGAAAATATTTAGCAAATGTCTACTTATGCTCTTGGCTGTGCTTATTGAGCAGTTACTCTAACTGTATGTCTATATCATATGTGTAGAAATAAGCATTCTAGTGCTGTTTTAAGATGTTAATATATTAAGACTTTGTGTTCATACAGAAAACTGTTTCATACCAACCTCTGAGATCATTGCTGTAGAAGAAACTGAACTTAACAAGAAACAGCGTAATCTTGGCAAATGGCAGAAAATGGCAAAGCCACATGCTTTCACAGGTAAGGCAAACACAATCTCAGAATGCTTGTGCTAATTACTTTTCTGGAGATACGTTAGGGCAGAGTGAAAAGGAATCTTCAGATATTTTTTTTAACAGAAATGATGTGTTTAAAAAAATACACAACCAAAAAAACCACAAAAGGAAACAAAAAAAGCCCCACCAAAGTCTGCCAGTTCACATTTAAAGATCCTTATTTTGAAAAATAAAATCCTTCCTTTAAGAGCACACACAGTGATTGGTTATTTAATGAAGTCCTAACTAATGTCTTGCATTTCTGCTGCTGAAGGACTCTGCAGCAGGACAGTTGCTTTCTACTACTTGACTAGAAGATTGAGAGAGGCTGGAAAAATTAGTTCTGAATCTTTGGGATTTTTAAATTTGTCCCTAAACACCAGAGTGCGTGCATATGACGGTTCTTTGTGCGTTCTTAAAACAAAGTGCCAGAAAAATAATTTCTGTTTTGGGGAACGAGTGGTGACTTCTGTACTCAAAGCTGGGGCAAATGTGATTTTTATTTATTTAATTTTTTTTCCCACATGCCAAAATTTTATGTTGTGGAGTACTTCCCTTACATGTAGTCCTTCATTAACAATGAAGTAGTTGGAAATGGAAGGATAAAGGCTCTTTAGGAAGGACAGGCCAGGGAGATGAGGAGGGGCTGTTGCCCTCTATGTCAGTGACCAGCTGGAGTGCATGGAGCTCTGCCTGGAGATGGATGAGGAGCCGACTGAGAGCTTATGGGTCAGGATTAAAGGGAGGGCAGGGACAGGTCACATTATAGTCGGGGTCTGCTACAGACCACTGGTCCAGGAAGACCAAGTGGATGAGGCCCTCTATAGACAGATAGGAACAGCCTTGTGCAAAAGCCCTGGCCCTTATGGGGGACTTCAACCACCCTGATATCTGATGGAAGAAGAACACAGCACAGCATAAGCAAGCCAGGAGGCTCCTGGAATGTGTTGATGATAACTTCTTCTCTAAGTGATAGAGGAGCCAATGAGGAGAGGTACTTGGACCTTGTTTCACCAACAAGGAAGGGCTGGTGGGGAATGTTCAAGATCCTTAGGGCAGCGAGGAGGGCACACAGCAAACTCACTACCCTGAACTTCAGGAGAGCAGACTTTGACCTCTTCAGGGATCTGCTTGGTAGGGTACCATGGGGTAAAGCCCTGGAGGGAAGAGGGGCCCAAGAAAGCTGGTTAATATTCAAGGATCACCTCCTTCAAGCTCAGGAGTGATGCATCCCAGCAGAGAGGAAGTAATGCAAAAACACCAAGAGGCCTGCATGGATGAACAAGGAATTCCTGGACAAATTCAAACAGGAAAAGGAAGCTTGCAGAGGGTAGAAGCAAGATGGGTAGCCTAGGAGGAATACAGAGGAAATTGTCCAAGCAGCCAGGGATCAGGTTAGGAAAGCTAAAGCCCTGATAGAATTAAATGTGGCCAGGGATGTCGAGGGCAACAAGAAAAGCTTCTGTTGGTGATGACAGGAAGACTAGGGAAAATGTGGGATCTCTCAAGAAGGAAATGGGAGACCTGGCTACCCAGCATGTGGAGAAGGCTGATGTACTCAGTGACTTTTTTGCCTCAGTCTTCACCGGCAAGTGCTCAAGCTGCACCACCCAAGTTTCAGAAGGCAGAGACAGGGACTGGGAGAATGAAGAACCACCTGCTGTGGGAGATCAGGTTCAAGATCACCTAAGGAAACTGGAGGTGCACAAGTCCATGGGGCCTGATGAAATGCATCTGTGAGTCCTGAGGGAACTAGTAGGTGAAGTTGCTAAGCCACTATCCATCATGTTTGAGAAGTCCTATTAGTCTAGAGAAGTTCCTGCTG